CCTCCTCCTTCCTTCCTCCTCCAACCACCATCGGCATCATCCGCATCATCAACAATGACGACATCATCATCAGCATCAGCAGCAGCATCATCACCAACATCATCGTCATCAGCATCACTTTCACCATCCTCATCATCAGCATCATCGTCGGCATCATCAGCAGCATCAACATCATCAGCAAAAGCGCAATAGCATCACCATTCCCATCATCATCTCCAATACCATCATCACCTACAGCATCAGCATCATCATCAGCATAATCAGCATCTTCATCAGCATCATCAGCATCAGTATCATCATCATCTTCATGACCATCATCCTCCTCATCATCACCATCACCATCAACATCACCACCACCACCATCACCACTACCACCATCATCATCATCATCACCATCATCATCAACATATTCATCTTCAACACCATCACCCGCAGCATCTTCATGATCACCAGCATCATCACCATCAGCAGCAGCATCAGCATCAGCATCATCAGCATCATTATCATCCCCATCATCATCACCACCAACGCCACCACGTCAACCACCACCAGCACCACCATCATCATCATTATCATCATCATCATCATCAGCATCATCATCGTCAGCATTATCGCCGCCATCACCAGTATCATCATCAACAGCGTCAGCATCAGCACCACCAGCATCAGCATCACCATCATCATCATCCTCCTCATCATCATCGCCATCCTATTCATCATCAGTATCATCATCAGCATCACCATCACCATCACCACAACCATCATCATCAACATCAACATCAGCATCACCATCATCATCATCATCATCATCATCATCATCATCATCAATATCGTCATCATCAACAACAGCATCATCATCAGCATCATCATCGTCATCCCCGTCATCATCACCATCACCATCACCATCACCATCACCATCACCACCATCATCATCACCATCAGAATCATCTTCATCATCATCAGCATCAGCAGCAGCATCATCATCAGCATCATCAGCATCATCATCACCACCACCGCAACCACGACAACCACCACCACCAGCATCATCATCATCAGCATCATAACCATAATCAGAGTCGGTATCATCTTTATCATTATCATCGTCATCAGCATCATCAGCAGCATCATCAGCATCATCAACACCATCATCATCATCCATCATCATCACCACCACCGTTACCACCAACCACCACCATCACCATCATCATCATCATCAACATCATCATTATCAGCATCATCAGCATCAGCATCAGCATCATCGTCAACATCATCACAATCACAATCCACCTCATCAGCATCATCATCAGCATCACCGGCAGCATCACCATCATCATCAGTATCACCATCCCCAATATCATCGACATCATCAGC